AAACTGTAATCAAATGGGATATCTGGACCATGATATTTATTCTTACCATCTTTCCACTCTATACTTTCTTATTCTCTAGACTTCCTCAAACCTAACTTACACTTCATTGCCATTTTCTTGGATTCTACACTCCTCCATACGATAACCCAGAGGACTGTAAATGCAACACTATACGAGGGCCAGGCAGGTAACATTAATAAATTAAATAAGGCCAGGTGTAAGTTAAATGCTAGGGAAAGAGAATAGTGGAGAATGTGCTTAATTGGGCTGTGTAAGCACCTGCTAAAAGAGAAAGGTGATACTCTGTTGCCACAGGGAAATCTAATCCCAGTTTTTTGTGATCTGATTTTTCAAAGGAGGCTGAAACCAGTTTTCTACTTGAATTTCCTCAATACACATTCTGCCTCACTTACTGACACGGTTAGGTTCCCAAAACCAGTTGTTTTATGAAAACCAGTGTTACATGAAAATGGAGGCTGACCAGCCACATCATCACACAGCTGCCAAAATACATTTCATAACTGCCAAACCATTGAGAGTCATGGCCAAGCCAAGCTGATACATAACCTTGATCATCAGAGCCAGAGTTACTCTTGCCTCGAAACTCAACATTCATTACTGCCAGGTGTGCATCATTAAGGCCTAAAATAATTAATAGGTATTTTTTTATTATTGTCATAAATGTGAGATGTCAAATAATGGGTGAGACAATGAGGGAGGAGACATTGTATTTAAAACACTGGGAGAGAGAAAATTATTCTGGATCATTCCCGAGTTTGCTGTTTAAATGTGAAATTCATTTTCTTGTTGGAGCCATTCAGTAAGCTCCAGCCCATGTCATCGTACGTACAACCGAGTGAAACTGCGCAGTCCCTGGCCACCCTCACAACTCTTGGCTTTATTCTCCATAAGCTAAGATTACATTTATCTTGTGAACTTCGATAATATTACCAATTTCAGTGTTAAGGCTGTAAAGTTGAAGCATTGTCTTAACCATAGAAAGAAATGGTTTCATTTATTCAACAGATTTGAGTTCCTACTAAATATTAGTTGTTGTTTTCTGTCATGTCAATCTGACGCATAGGACAAAGTGGAACTGCCTACTAGGGCTTATGAAAGTAAATTGCCATGTCTTTCTCCAGATGGCTGGTGAATTCAAACCACTTACCTTTCGGTTAGCAACTAAGCATTGAAACACTGCCATCAGCACTCCTTTCTTAGTACTTTATCCAAATTCTGAGGATTCATCTGAGGGTTCTCCAAAAAATTCATGGAAAAGTGGAATTAAAAAATAATGGAATTTTTTAGAAATCATTTTATTAGGGGCTTGTACAACTCATCACAATCGATAATGGAATTTTTTCACAAACTTTTTGAAGCTCCCTCATATAAGTACAATAAAAACAAGAGAGATTACTGCTCTTAAACTAACAAAGTAGTGAAGCAGTTAATACTTTTAAGTAAAATTCTAATGGTAATGAAATGTTCTTTACATGTTCTAAAAAATATTCTTTAAGGTAGTACATCAAAATAAAGTGTCTGTTAAATTCAAACTAATAGGAATCAATAAATAACTTATTGTTTGCAATAACACTATATGCATTACTACATTAATCCTTGAAATAAATTATCCTAATTTGCATGCCTAAAATGATTTGGGCATGTTTGAATCTGGTCAAAGTGAAGCATAAGTAATATATAACTCAAGGATATAAAAAAAGATTAGATTGCACTTCATTCTTTCAGACATTAGTTTAAATACCGTATCACTTTGTTAATTATTTGACTTTTGACAGGTTTTCTAACTTTTCTTGATAGTTTGAGACTAGAAAAATTTCCTTACTAGCCATTATATTTCTAGTCCTATCCAGTAAAAAAACTGAATTATCATGTTGATTCTAACTTTGCTTCCTGGGTGATGTGAACAGTAAGTGTTCAACTACTAAGTAAGAGATTGATAGTTCAAACTCATCCGGAGGCACCTTAGAAGAAAGCCCTGATGTTCAGCTTCCAAGGTCACAGACTTGAAACCCTGTGAAGTGCAATTCTACCCTGGAACACAGGGGGGAGCGCAGCTCCACTGTACACCATGTGCACTGGAACACAGTACCTGGTATATAATAGGCACTCAAGTAATGGTTGAGTAAAGGGGTTGAGTTTGTGCTAGCTCTACCTTGACATTGCTGCAGGATGGTCTTGAGATGGGTCCACGTGGGGTCAGGAAAGAATGGAAGGTCAGGAGATAGGAAGCTAGAAAGAGAAGGGTAGAGGAAAAGACTAGTGACGAGGGATAATGGCGCACCATCGCCTAGTGGAAATTTCTTCTCTGCTCATTCATTCCTTACCTTTATTTTCCCGTAAATCTGAACAAAAAGCAGATTATTACTTCTGATAGTGCTTTTCCCCAAGATGTACTCACACATACCCCTCCTAAAAGACCTCCTAATTTTGTGCATATTTTCCTTTAAACAAAAACAATACAAAACTTAGTGGGGTTTCTTTTTACTCTTTCTTCAATGCAATAATATCTTCTCTCTCTCCATGTTAGAGTTCTGAGGGTAGATGCCTCCAGATCTCTTTTACCCTTTAAAATTTTGCATGTTGTTCCATGGGAGCCTTACCATGGTCTGTTTAGCACTTAGGCACGTAAGGTATTTGCAGTTCTTCCGTATCACAAACAGTACTACAGCGAATGTGTTCCTTGTCCCTAGATGTGTGTGTTTCTGCTTTATTATCCCGTCTATGTAGACTGCTGCGAACAGCCTTACATCAGTTGGCAGATGTAGAACAACCGTCAAGGACTGGCTTTAATGTCTTGTCACCATTGTGGGGAGAAGATGGCCATAAAAGAACATTCGTGTAGCCAAGTGCAAAGAACATAACATTCTAATTAGCTTGTGTTTGGACTTTGGTTCTCTGAACTTCTGATTGAACATTGTCATCATAAAAGTTGTTTTCTCAAACAACACTATCTCAAACACCGAGTTTCTAATATTCACTGCAATGGCTACACAGGACACACAAGATTTATGATTTAAGGGTTTATTAAGGAAGTTAACGCCTACTGAGAAATGCTCGGGAAACTGTTGTTTTTCAGGATGTGGTACCAAGTTCTTTCAGGGCTGCTAATAAATGCCCAAAGGGCAGCCACATCATTGTAGGCCTCAACCTGAAAGCATTCTGCTCAAGCTCATTGGGTCAGCAAACCCAGCTCCTCCACTTAAGTGCCCAGAGGCACCCTCCCCAAGCCAGCCTCCTACCCCAAAGCAGTCATCTGTAGTGGGTGCACATCATTCCTGGCTCTTGCTAAGATGGTAGTGAGATCCTCTCTCCTGCCTTTCTAAGGGACCATTTTATACTCAGCAGGATGGCAAGCACAGTACTGTGACTCCTATCAGTGTCTTCCAGGTGCCGTGTTAACCAGACCCATGCACGAAAAGGTAGTTTGGTGGGAGTTACAGAGACTGGCTAAAAGCACCACATTGAAAAATTCACTGCTCCTTCAGCTGTTAATGTAGATACTTCCAACACATGTGTCAGAGGAGGAGGAGAAACAAAAGAAGAAGGGAGGGAGGTACTACGCAGGAGGCATACAAGAGCCTCAGCCCCAGATCACAGCTGATCCAAAGCTCTGGGGAAGCTCTTTTGATGGGATGTTTATGTCTGGAGCATATACCAAGGAGCTTCAATTTTGTACAGTTAAGGTATTCACTTAGGTATGGCAATTTGTTATTGGTTAGAAGAGTGGAATTTACAATGATTACTTCCAGTGTTATACATGAAGGGGCTTCAAAAGTTTGTGGGAAAATTCCATTTTTCTGTGAGTCTTGTAAACTCCCTCAAATTAACTAGTTTAATCTTGACAGCAGCCTTGTGAAATAAGTATTTTTATAATCTACAGATGAGGAAACAGAGAAGGTTAAGTAATTGACATAACTATTTAGGATCCCCTAGCTCAGCAGGAGGCTACTAACGGAAACCCATTAGACGAGGTTTGAACACCCAGCGGCTCCACAGAAAGAAAGACGTGGTAGTCTGCTCTTGTGAAGGTGCAGCCGAGGAAACCCGACGGGGCAGTTCTCTGTCACATGAGCCAGAAGGAGCTCAGCTTTGCCTGGTTACAAATGGTGATAAGCTTTTAAAATCAGACCAGTCTTGCTTAAAAACACAGGACTTTTTCTATTAAAAAAAAATAGAATAGAATATGTATACTATAGAAAATTAAGGAGTATCCTGGTGGTGTAGTGGTTATGTGTTGGGCTGCTGACCTCAAGGCCAGCAGTCGCCATCAGATACCGAGTATTGCTTTGGTTTTCTGCCACCAGAATGGGTGGGTTTACGGTTTTCTCTATTACTGTATTAATTCAAATACACTGTGTTTTACGTGTTTGAAGTTGTCATGTGTTGTTTTTGTAGAGTACGGGTTTGATAGGGATAGAGACCTGTTCCACAATGATGTAAAATAGTGCAGTTCATATTACATGCCAACCTCCAGGAAGAATAAATTTTGGTTTTTATCAGTGCTTCTTATTTCAGATATCGACCCTTGATCTTCATACTTCTTAGGGTAAATTTGCCTAAATAAATTCTTGATATCACTATGTAGCATAAACTTGCCTTTTTACAAAGTGAAATATCAGAAATTATGGAAGTATATTAAATATAAATATAAGAAACTGGTGTGAGCCCCCAACAAAATGATTTTTTAAAAACAGAAGAAAATCTGCAGTGAAATCAAATTACAACATAAAGATAGTCCAATAAAATGTCAAGAATGAAATGTTCTGAGAAAACAAACAAACAACAACAACAAATATATATATATATGAAACTGCCCACTCACTAATTTGGATATTCCTTGAGAAACAAGTGCCCGCATACTCATTTTTATATCTGGCAATATCATCTACAAGTACTTCAGAAAATGCTGAGTCACAAACTGATTATGATTATGAACTATAACTCCTGTCATTTTCATTTTGTTTCCCTTCAATTTTCAGAATGATTGACTGGTTGTCTTGGCCTTTAGCTCAGCATGTAGATACATGGGTGATTGCACTGCTGAAAGGACTGGCAGCTGTGCAGAAGTTTACTATTTTGATAGATGTTACTTTGCTGAAAATAGAACTGGTAAGTGGGGACATAGAAATGTAGTAGAAAATGTGGGTGCATATAACCAATCTTTATTTTTAGGTGGTTTAAGGTAAAGCTGTGTACATGCAATTTTGAATTTATTCTTGTTTTTGTGTGGAGTAATAGATTTGAATGTTCTATAAAGAAAGACTGCCTCACATATTAGAGGTAGTTAAGATAAGTTTACTCTTTTTGCATGAAAACATACTCCTCCCATCCATTCTTTCATACACCCTGCTTAGACTTACACTACCGTCACTCTACCCAAACTGCCTGACCCCAGTGCTCTCTAACATTGCTCATCCAGGCTCATTTCTAAGGCCTGTCAGCAGTTGGTCTCTCCCTCTTAAACCAGCCTCACTTGGTTTCCCAGACTTTCTGTGTTCTTGATCTTCGTCCTTGTTCATTAGCATTGCTATCTCCTGTACTGGATCTTTCCAAGTATAAAGTGCCTTAAAGTTCGGTCTGTGGACTATTTCCTCTTTTTTTGGTTTTAGGATAACTTTGTTCTTAATCTGTATACACAATATAGGAGTTCCATGGTTTTAAGCAGCTTCTTAGATCAATGATTGCCAGATTTATATTTCTTTTTTTTTTAATCATTTTATTAGTGGCTCATACAACTCTTATCACAATCCATACATACGTCAATTATGTAAAGCACATTTGTACATTCGTTGCCCTCATCATTCTCAAAACATTTGCTTTCCACTTAAGCCCCTGGCATCAGCTCCTTATTTTTCCCCCTCCCTCCCTCATGAACCCTTGATAATTTATAAATTATTATTTTGTCATATCTTGCACTGT